AATAATCCAGGTGGAAAAAGAGAAATGACAAATGATTTCCCTCATTTGTGGATTATAACAATGAAGCAAAACTGAAGGAACAAACTAGCAGCAGACTCAGAAATTCCAAGAAGGTCCTAGTGGTTACCAAAGGGGAGGGGTGCGGGAGGGCATGTGGGGAGGGTGTGAGAAGGGGATTGAAGGGTATTATGTTTAGTGTACATGGTATGCGTGGTCACGGGGAGAACAGTGTAGCACAGAGAAGGCACATAGTGGATCTGTGGCATCTTCTTGCACTGATGGACAGTGACTGCATTGGGATATGTGTGGGGACTTGATAATAAGAGTAAATGTAGTGACCACATTGTTTTTTCATGTGACACCTTCATAAGAGTGTATATCAATCATACTTAAATAAAAAATATTTAAAAAACTTAATGTAAGATAATAATAAATTTTTTATGGTGCCCAGAGGCTCTTAGCAGGAAAATTATGCAAAACATCTTAACAGTACTTATAATTATTTATTCTCACATCCATAAACTATGTTTTCACACCTAAAATTGGAATTGGACTTCTTGAAATCTAACCTCCAAGCCAACAGTGTGGTTGGATGAGATCCCCCATGGAGCCTTTTCTGAAATGTTGGAGAGGAAGATATTTCCTCACATGCTTAAGACTCTATTTCGTTTATGAAACGAATTGACATGAGACAGAATAACAGTAGAAAAAAAACCACAAAGCTTAATTTTGTATATAGGAGGAATCCATAGGTAGAAATGTCAAAGTCAGTCAGGGACCATGAGGTCTGTAAGTCTTCCTGAACCAAGGAAAAACAAGTAACGGTCTGAGACCTCAAAGAAAAAGGGAATCAATTCATAGGAATATGAAAGAGTAAATGTTTCTTGAGCAAATGTTTGTTTGGCCACACAGACATGATGGGACACAGAGAGGAATTGTACACACTAGACACATCTATTTCTGTCCACCACCCTTTGTTCACATTATACTATAGTTACCTATGGGGATTGCTCTCCTCCTGGAAGGTGCTCCATCTAAATGTTTTTATGCACTAGTTGGGGTGAGCATTTAATAATGTACATAACTCTGAAATCACTATGTTTTATTATATAACATTACATATCAATTATACTTCAATAAAAAATACCCAGAAAAATGTTTTTATTAAATTGATGGGGAAAATCAAGTTTCTTTCTGAGTCTTTTGGCTCCTGAATGCTTTCAACACTTAGATAATCTGCATGTCATAATGACACATATTGGGGCAGCCCGTTATTGGCCCCTACAGAAACAAAGATGCCTTTGTTTTAAACTATGAAAAGAACACTGGAATCCATTAGGGAATAGTGTGTGTGTATAGATGCAAGGCAAGTGAAGTCAGGTAAACAGACACAGGCGGGGAGAAGTGGATAGTTGGGACACAGCCATCCTGAATTCCTACTGTCTATAGACTTGGTCTTTAAGGGTTTTCACTGCTCTGGGACCAGAATGACACGAAATTGGCTTGGATAATGAGGACTTGGGATATTGAGCCCCAAGGGATGCAGAGAGTCAGTCTGTGACCACCTCACACAACAGCCCTGCCCATTCAGCAACCAATACACCTGAGGATATTCTCAGGGATGTTCCTGCTTCATCATGAGCCAGGTGCATCACTCATGCTGGCTACTTTTCATGGGGGACAGATCTTATGTCTTCACATCCAGGGGATGCATCAAGCATCATTGCCAAATGAAGCCAAAGAGGTAACCCAAGTCCTTGAGTTAATGCACTGGAAATAAAGGCATGTGTTTTACCAAAATTCCTTCCCATGGAGGCACTGAGGAGGGCTCTTGCTTAAAATGATCAGAACCCAGTAGACCATGGACCTACGGCCTTACTGCCTATCACCACCTTGGACATCCCATATATGGGATTTGTGTATCCCATATGACACCACTATTCCCTGGCCTTCATTCTCCTGGCCTTCTTATCCCAATCTGTAAGATACATTTTCTTCAGAGCCAAATTCTGCCCCATATCAGACAGGATGATTGTTAAATTTTCTGATATTTACTTCAATTCTATGGTTGTGGCATGAAAATGCTGTTCTGATGTTTACTTTTGATTCCCTTTCCTAGATCTTGATAACATGATTGTGTAGTACAGCTGTTGCATTATCTCCATAACTGATCTGGTAGGACTCTGGGGAAGGAAGTGGGCAGCCCAAGAAGTTTGGAAAGCTGCCTTCCTGGTACATCTCTTCTTTCTGAAACTCAAGTATTTTAAATATGAGCATCAGAGAAAGTGTTATTTATTTCATCTTATTTTAATTTTTATTTGATTTTTTATATTGGGATAGCAGCATCAAAAATGTAGTGTGATTTAAAAAAACCATATGCCACCACTCACATCATTCCATAATGAATGAATGTTGATATTCTGTTGTATCACTTTCAAGTTTTCATATAAAATGCACAATAATATGCATACAAAAGGCACCTCTATTGTATTACCCTCTCTTTCTCCTCTTCCTTTTCTAGAGGCATACTTCATTGAAGATAACGGCTTCTTCCTTGCATGGCTTGGATTGTATCTGTATTCATAAATAAGTATGTAAAAAAAAGGCAGTCATGTTAATTTCTTTTAGTTAGGACATGGAGAAATAAGTTGTGATGTAACTAAGAAAATACTTCCTGGGGTTTTCAAATTTAAAAAAAATACATTTTCTTCTAAAAAAATTAGAGTTGATTACTCTGTAGTTTTTAAATTAATGGAGCTGGACTAAGTATCATCATTAATCAAAAAAATAAAGTACATAAGAAAACCAACTGTACATGACATATCCAGTGTGGTTACATTCACAAGAAACTTTTAAAATCCAAAACAGTGCAATTGTTTATTGCATCATAATATGAAATATAGTAAAAAGTGCAGAGAAATCCTGTATATTGAATTTGTGTTTTGGTTCCTTGGGGAAAGGAAAGGATCAGGATTGTATTAATATATGATACAGGGACTTCAAATATATCTGTATTAAATATTGCAATAAAAAAAACTAAGGATCATGGTTTGTGAATTTAATGATGTTGACTGGTGGGTACCAAGCTCTTCATTACTATATTTGTACTTTTGTTTCACTTCAATAATTCATAACAAAATTAAGTCTGTGTATGTAGGAGCAAAAAATATTTTAAATTTCTCATGCTATAGGCTTTCTGTTCTGCCTTTTTCCCCTCTATGTTTTCATATTTGTGTTCATTCTTATGTCTAATTATTTCTATTATTTGTTTCATCTAATTTGCTGTATATTTCATCCTATGTCCTTGTCAGATGGATAGTGATATCACCAATGTTTCTTTCATTCCTTTTCTGCATGATAAATGTTCCCAGCTGGACTTTCAGCTCATAATTTCTTCCCTAAAGTTTGCATTGTCACAGTGAAGGTGTTCTTTTTCAATTGTCTTTCTTCCACTTGTCCAGCCCATTGCTTTATTCTGATGAGTGAAACATGCCCTGAGCTGTTATTCATGGAGAACAAGGGAACCACATCAGGATGGGGGTGTCCTGTGCTAAGTGACATGCTGGATGCATTTCTTCTACTCATTGCTCGTCATTGCAACATCCCATAAGGTAGGATGAGTGTTCCCATTGACCAAATGAGGACATGAGGCCTATACAGGGACAACTTTTCCAGTTCACAAAGCAAGTGCTGGTCTGGATTTAACTCACTGTTTGAGTCTAAGTAACCCACCAAATGATAAAGTCTGTCATGGCTACTGTGCCTCTCCAGGAGAGGGAAGACCACTGCTTCATGGAGACCATCCTGTCAGGTCTCTTGTTTGGCTTGTAAATAACATATACTCCTGAATTATCTTGTCTGAGTCTTCCAAGGACCAACAGATTGTTGATAGTTTCATAGAAGTCAATACAATTCATTCTTTCTCAAATTTAACTGTTTTCTTAGTGACATGACATTGTTGCCTTAGGGGAAGAAATCCTTTTAGGATGAGGCAGAGAATGTCACTGACATAGTGCTCTGGTTCTTGCAGAATTAACAAGTAAGGCAGATGAGGACAGTTGCAATGGGGGCATATTATGAGCTTCAGGTTGCTGGGCAACATTTCTTCTCTTTGATAGCAGCAGGGTGTATGCTTAATGGATACCATGATCTGCTGCACACTACTTCATGGGTAGATGTAGGCATAACTTGCAGGGAAGGGAGAAAACTTGGTGCATTGTTCAGGAAGAAAATACTTAAATATTTAAAGCAAATTATGAAATCTGCATGACTTCATAAATGCTAGCTCTTTATCATTCAGAGGCATTAAAAGATTGTTCAAGAGAGTTAACTCAGCAGACAGGTGGTCTAGACTGAGACCCAGTCTTTGTCATGCACTGTACTTCCTGTCCACATTCTAACATCACCTTACTGAAGTGTCCTCATGGGTAAATGGAGTTTGTGTGTGTACTAACACATCTGTTATGTGACAAGCCCTTCAGATGATTCTGAGGAATGCCAAGTATTGGGGAGCATTGTTCTGGAATGCAGATTTCATAATGTTATTCTTGTCCTTCTTTTTGCTTGAAGGCATGGGATATTTCTAAAGGAAATGCCATCTCCTAGTCTTAGTGTCAGTCCTGGCACTTGGCGCAATGTGTGAAATGGAGTTGGTGATCTCTAAAAATTTGGGCCAATAAAGGGAGGACAGAAAGAATTGGTGTGAGAGATGGTTATGAGGGAGAAATTAGTAGAGGGACAGATTGGTTCACAATATACATAGAGGGTGTTTGTTTTGTTTTAACCACTGATTTCCCAAATATTAGTGAATTTCAAATTTATGTGGAGGGCTTGTTAAAACATACCATGCTGGTCCACATGCTGAGTTTGTCTACAGTAAGCCTTCAGTAGTACACAGAGTTTTCATTTCTAACAAATTCCCAGATGATTTAGCAGCTGTTCAAACAGAAACTGTTTTCTTTTATTTTCACTACCTCTTTTACATCAGGTTCATCAATAACATGAAGCCCACAAATCACACAGATGTCTCAGAATTCGTCCTCCTGGGATTGACAGAGGATCCAGAACTGCAGCCCATCCTCTTTGGGCTCTTTCTGTCCATGTACCTGGTCAGCATTCTGGGGAACCTGCTCATCATCCTGGCTGTCAGCTCTGACCCCCACCTCCACACCCCCATGTACTTCTTCCTCTCCAACTTATCCTTTACTGACATCTGTTTAAGCACAACCACAGTCCCCAAAATGCTGGTGAACATCCAAGCACAGAGTCAGTACATCAGTTACACAGGCTGCATCCTCCAGATCTGCTTTGTCGTGGATTTTATTGGNTCTTTGGGCTCTTTCTGTCCATGTACCTGGTCAGCATTCTGGGGAACCTGCTCATCATCCTGGCTGTCAGCTCTGACCCCCACCTCCACACCCCCATGTACTTCTTCCTCTCCAACTTATCCTTTACTGACATCTGTTTAAGCACAACCACAGTCCCCAAAATGCTGGTGAACATCCAAGCACAGAGTCAGTACATCAGTTACACAGGCTGCATCCTCCAGATCTGCTTTGTCGTGGATTTTATTGGTTTTGAAAGTTGTCTCCTTGCAGCAATGGCCTATGATCGCTACGTGGCCATCTGTCACCCCCTTAGGTACACAGTCATTATGAACCCCCAACTCTGTGTTCTGCTCATTCTTCTATCTCTACTCCTTAGCACTGGGAATGCCCTGCTCCACAGTCTGATGGTGCTGAGGCTGTCCTTCTGTGGGGACCTGGAAGTCCACCAGTTCTTCTGTGAACTTGCTCAGGTCTTCAAGCTGGCCTGCTCTGATACCCTCATTAATAACATCCTTTTATATTTTGTGTCTGGCCTATTTGGGGGTATTGCTTTATTTTGGGTAATTTTCTCTTATACTCAAATTCTCTCTTCCATTTTGAGAATGCCCTCAGTGGAGGGTAAACATAAAGCTTTTTCCACCTGTGGGTCTCACCTGTCTGTTGTTTCCTTGTTCTATGGGACATCTTTTGGAGTTTACATTAGCTCTGCAGTTACTGACTCTCCCAAGAAGGCTGCAGTGGCTTCAGTTATGTATATCATAGTTCCACAATTGTTGAACCCCTTCATCTACAGCCTGAGGAACAGGGACATGAATAGGGCCTTGAGGAAAATAATCAGTAGGATACTTCTGTCTTTAATGGTGTCACCTGCTTTGAACTTGTTTTCATTGAATGAGTCAAAGTGACAGGATTCCTGGGTGAGCCAGGTGTCTGTTTCTTCCACCACCATGTTCCTCTTAAAATGATTAAATGATATAATGGCCAATTGCATTTCAGCGTGGGATTGAAACATGTTGATGCTTTTTGTCTACCTCCATGATGTTTGATAATGATTTCAGTTCTCTCAACTTAGTTTCTTTGCTCAGGGTCCATAGAAGCAATG